ACTAAATCACCATGTATGGGCTACATTTTCAAAAATCTTGCCTTATTCTGGCCTTTGTGTTTTCATATCTGGTATATTTATATCCCCATGATAATTGAATTCACTTCAATCAATGGAAGTTGATTCATGTAATTAACTGTACCATTTCATTTGGATATTTGAAACTACCTGGGGGTTACCTTTGAATACAAGGCCCAATGTTGACTGTTTTCAGTGGAAGAATTAGTAATAGAAAACCAGGAAGCTGGCGGTTCTTTGAAATGCAGGAACTAGATGTTGCACTATAAAGTATTGTTCAATGTACTTATGAGAGGAAATTTATGTATATGTTAATATTAATTGGGTCCTTTTATCTCTGCTGTCAGGAAAGTTGCTGTGCTGGTTTTGGTAAGAAGTAAGCATTGAAACTCATTCTTAAAGAAGCTTTGAAAGAACATTTGGTCTGCAGAGTGTTTATATAATTTAGTTGTGTTAGGAATAAAAACGAATTTATTCTTTATGTATGTGGTTGCTCTCTGAAATCATATTTTAGCATTTTTGCTGTGGAAAAAACACCAGTGTTTGAAATTTGCCTTGTGAAATTTATAGGCAGTAATGACATTTATTACAAATTATATTATGGTCTTTAAGAAAAGTGAACTACAGAAAACAGCAACAGGTAAATACATAGAGTTTTTTCTGTTTTCCTTGGTAATACACGTTTTGTTTTGTTAGTTGCAGAGTAACTCATTTGTAACTGTGGGAAGTTGGGGTTTAAAGACTTAATTAGCTTTTGTGTGAAGTTATAAATGGGACTGTTCTTCATTCATTGAAGAAATATAGCTGTGACAAGACAGATCCATGCTTGGTGTCTAGGAGCTTGTAATGGTGGTCCGGGGTCACCAAAAGCAAAGTGTCTGAACTTCCCCTTGAACTCTGACCTGCCAACTGTTCTTTTTCTGCAGTGACCAAATCATTCTTGACTCTGGCTGGAAAATCTTCCTTTGACGTCTCCTCAAGTTTATCCTTAAGCGTTTCAAATAGGGGCAAGACATTCTTTCCAGAAATTACTGCTTGGTTTCAGATGCATGGATTTTCTGTATCTGATCACATTCTTGGAGTCAAAAGTTTTTCTGCCTTACAAGTCAGTGCATCTCACTTTACTGACAAGACTCCTTGGCATGGTTGTGAGTGCCAACCATTGGGTACCATATTTATAAATGTCTTGGTTATGCTCATGGGTTTATATTTATGATAAAAATCATAGCAAGACGGGGTTGCAAAGTCGAGCTATCTTAAGTTGGGAAGTTCCTCTATCATGGCAGTTAATTAACGTGCTCCCAACAGGGGGATGTTCAAGATCCTGGGCTGGAGTTATTTTTTGTCCCTTTAGAAGATGCCTCTTGAGTGATTAGCTAATAATCTCTAATATCAGGACCCGATTTTACACTGAATGACATTTGTTCCACTTTTCTCTAAGTATTTCTCCATAGGAAAGGAACAAGATTTTGAAGTTTTCACATTATAATATTTTGGCACAAGAGAAAAGCAAAGAGGAAATACATGCAGTATTAAGTGAGGTTTCTTATGTTTGCTGGTGAACCTAACTCTTCTACCTTTTCCCCCTGTTCAGCAAAAATAAGCACAACTATGATAATAACAGGTGCCCTCAATATGATCCCCCATTTGAGACCTGGGCACTTGACCCTCATTTCTGCAGCTGGGGTCATGGCTTCCTGCAGGGCTGTGTGTGTCTGTTGCTGGGAGTCAGCGGGAACAGGTGGATGTGAGCTGAGGGGAGCTCCGTATTATGTATTGTTCCTAAGCATCTTCAATCCCAGAGACCAGATCTTGGTAAGGGTAGTGACAGGCAACGAAATAGTTTTCTCCTAAATAAATACCCGTTAAACTAAATCAGAGCCCCCCCCCCCGCCCCGCCAAGGAGGATTACAAGCTGGAGTTTTTATTGTTTTGTATTTGGTCCTGGTGCCCAGGAAGTCCATGTGGAACAATAGCACCTAAAAGGTAACAAAAAAAGTAAATATTTGCATTTGCTACTTTCACAAACCAAAAATTATCATATTAATTAGGGTTCTCTTCATACCTCTAATTGATAGTGGTTTTCTGTTTACTCGGACCTTGCTTTTCTGAAACAACAAGTAATTAAGGCATAGGATCATCCCCAAGCTGTTGATTATCACTGTAAACAGACTCTGATTAAAGAAGCACTATTTTTTCCAGTTGTGTGTGATATGATGCTGAAATTTTGGTCCTAAACAAGGAGTGACTCGGCTCACCAAGTGAGGCAGTATGGTCTGGAGAGGCTCAATGTGAAAATATGACCATGCTAATAAGCAGCCGACCGCAAAGCCCAATGCTAGAAGGACTTACTAGAAGGAACGCTATGAAATGCACTTAAAACTTGAATTCTGTATTTCTATTCAGAGTTCCTGAGCCTTAAGTTATGTTTGGGAGAAGAATCTTGTAAAACACTGCAGCATTATATACAAGAAATGGGTGTCATGGTCCAAGCAGCATCATTTGTTCAAGCTACCAGCATCTAGAATGGAAGAAAAGTTCCTATGGTGGGGCGCCTGGGTGGCTTAGTCGGTTAAGCGTCCGACTTTCGCTTAGGTCATGATCTCACGGTTCGTGGGTTCGAGCCCCGCGTCGGGCTCTGTGCTGACTGCCAGCTCAGAGCCTGGAGCCTGTTTCAGAGTCTGTGACTCCCTCTCTCTCTGACCCTCCCCTGCTCATGCTGTCTCTCTCTCTCCTAGAAATAAATAAAACAATAAAAAAAAAAAAAGAAAAGTTCCTATGGGGAAAGCAGCATATGAAAGCATATTAAAGATGTCCCAGCACTGCAATGGTAAAGTGATCAGCATCATTTCAGATGATTCCAGTGATATCAAAACTTCTGTAGTCTTTTGTATGCCATGGTATTAGATTGTACATGTAGAATTCCTATTAAGACAACATTTCGGTAACTTTAAGCATGTTGTATGCTTGGGGTCCCAGTGGCAGAGATCACTCACTTAGGCCACGCATTTTGCTGGAGCCGGATGATGCCTGCAAGATCATCTAGCCACCTGCCTCATGTTGTTCATAGGCGAAGAGGTGGCCAGCATGGCTGGTGGTTCATCAATGTCATCCAACCAGCCAGTATGTGGGAGTCAGGATCAGAAGTGTGGCTTCCCTAGTGTCACAGCTCTTTTAGAATTTGCCTAGCAGGTTTTCTGGTCCTTACTAGAAGACTCCCCCACCCCCCCCCCAAAAAAAATAAAGAAATGTGGCTCCCCAAATCCAGGACAACACTACTTCTCTGGACATAAGTCAAAGTGTCACCAAGGAAAATGAGAAATAGTGGAAGGATGTTCCTGAGATTCTCTTTCCATTGGCGTGCGCCTCTCCTTTGCCCCTCTGCAAAAGTTCCTAATTCTTAAATTTGCACTTGAGAGGTATTGTAAGGAAAGACATGTAGAAGGTGCATTTAGCGCGTAGCATCCCTCCTCCTCTGGTCTCCACCTGTAGAAATTGGATGTTCCTTTCAGTGTATGCTTTCCTCGGAATGCATCAGCTTTCTGTATCCTCCTCTGCAATTTTTCCTGCCTTTCCCCCTTCCTCTTCTTTGAGCTTTGGCAGATGAGACTTTCAGAAAATGCATGCGTCTTTTTTCAGCTCTTGCTGCACAATTTCAACCCATGGAAATGGGGGCAAAAGCAACAGCCCATACCACGTTATTTGGAGCTTTTAAGATAATTTCTTTTTGAGGGGAGGCAGCTCAAATGATTGTTGAATGAATATAGTTTTAGTTCCTTTTTATTATGAGTTTACTCTTCTGTTATGATTTTTAAAATTATGATAGACTCCAGAATAAAAGTACTGTTTTGGTCTTGCAGACACAGACGTTGTGTTTTCAAGATGAAAAGACCCATGGGAAAAGTATAGAACGAGAGCTTTATTTACATTTCTTCAGTCACCTAGTCTCCAAAATGTACTTTCTCCAGGTTCCCCTGCTCCTGTTTGAGTTATTATGGTTCTTCACTTTACCCAATCTTGACAAAATGGAACCCATCTCTGATCCCTGGGTCTTCTTTCCTCCATTACTGATGGTCAAATTCTATCTGTCTGTTTTTCCCATTCTTTCTTCAACCAGGATTTCTATATGGAAATAGCTTAAGGGTAGCAAAATGGAGGCTTTGCCATTTTATAAAAGGGTTTATAAATAAAAAGAGGGTTTGCCTCTTTTTATTTAGCTTGTTTGTTTGCTTTTTAAGTAGCTTGGGTGACTCCCTGTTTCCACCTCTCTATCAAATCCTTTATCTCCTCACACGCAGGATGCTGACTTCCGTCTTTCCGCATCCCAATCCTTTATGCATACAACTCTGGCATAACCGTCCTAAACAGAACTTTAACCAACATACTCTTCAGTGACTCCGTAATGCCCACAAGGGTCAGCTGTCTTCGGTGGACGCCCGTGCTTCAGCCTCCACATGCCTTTCAGAGATTCATCAGTCATGTCTCCTCACAGCTGTAGCATGAGACGGGCTCTTTCTGGAATCCCAACCTCTCTGCTTTGTTCATGATGTTTTCCCCACGTTATCCTATTTGAATCTTATTCTTCTTCAAGGCTTGACTTAAGCCCTGCCGTCTCCAAGAGGTTTTCTTTGATCATCAGGTATCATAAAATTGGCCTTCATCTGGTCTAAGCCATCATCAGACACAAGACTTATCACTGTTTCGTTCACCAGTGAGATAGGAAAACAGCTGTCTTCAAATTAAGAGGCATTGCTTTTCTAGAATTTTGATTTAATTGAAAGAAGTGTGCTGAGCCTTACTTACACATAGATAAAAACATCACCTGTCATCCTGGTGCATCCATACAAACATAAGTGCAATGAATTGGCTAAGAAATTTCTAAAACTTCTTCATGACAAGGTGTGACCCTTCTGGGATTCTTTCCATCCACCGTCATTCATTCTTGTAAGTTGTGATGTTGATGTTTTCCTCCATCTTCCCAGAAGGTGTCAGTGGAAGATTTTCAGAAAACAACCAGGACACACCTTCCTTCCTCAAATGCATCTTCAGTGGCATATTAACTAACGTCAGGTGTTGCTATGGCCTTGTCATTCCACCAGGAGTCACTAGTGAGTCTGCACAAAGTCTGGTAATGACAACCATGTCACGATGGTTGCCAACCAACGGCAGTTATAAGGGTACATATCAGATGCACCCAATTTCAATACAGTAAAAAGCTCAAAGAAGATGCAACTCACAGTGGATGACATATGGCCCTTTCTCATCCCACTGAACCCATTTGCCATTTTTATATGCTGCCCACTGTATCATTGTTTAGGAGGCCGTTAAACTGATAAATGCATGTGATTCTGCTGCTCTCAGTAACGCATTCTTCGAGACGGAAATCTATGAAAAATGTGTAGATGGTAACTGATAAAACTTGGATCCATTCTTTCTTGGGACATACTCAGAAATCAAGACCAAAATTCCCAAATAGCTCCAGACTGGAGTTTGTGGGTTAGATTAGATCCCTTGGGAATTTGTCCCCTACCTTGCTTGTTGTCACTGGTTATGACTATAATATGTTTGCAAATAAGAAATAACGTCGCATTTTTCATTTCTGAAGATCCAGGAATTTTACGTATATTTAAGTCATCACAAGTTTCTTAGGCAGGTGGGTTTATTTCTAATGTGCAGTTTAGGAAACAAAAGCTCCGATGTCCTCTTGCTACAAGGGTACGGAGCTGGGATTTAAATCCCGGTCTGTCTGATCTCAGTGCTTATACTCTTCTATATTGCCACATGGTGTAAGTTGTACACGTAAGGGACACAAGGCCCGAGGTAGGTGACTCTCCGTAATTCAGTGGCAGAGTAATAAATACATAATTATAAATAGGATATCATTACAAATTGTGAAATGTGCCCTTAAAAAAGAAAATAAGGTGCAAGCTTCACCTGGATCTGTATTCTGAATTATTGCTTACATTCCTGAACACTCCGTCCCTGAATTACGGAGTGTACGTCTCACAACCGGTGAAAAGCCGTCATTCCTGCCTTTGTTGAGGGAAGATATTAAACAAACATCATAGTAATAACTATAGCTAACAGTTCTCAGTTAGCTTCCTTCATTGGAGGGGATCCCTTAAGACACCTGCCTCTGCCTCGCCCAAAGGGCACCCTGTGAATTCAGCCACAGGGGTTGGAAGACTTTGCAGTTTGCCGCGAAGCTTTGAGAGAACCATGGTTATGCCTGCCAAACACAAAATGAGTGCCATCAGCCATCTGCAGGAATTTTTCCAGAAAGTAACTCTTCCCGAGGGATAATCTTGCAAATGGGCTGCTGGCATGAAAATAGTGCCTGACACACCATTGGGGAAGCGCCATGGAATGTAACTAATGAAAGATAAGCAGACATCTAATGAAGCGTAACCTCTGGCTAGAGGTTGTATGTTGACGGAGGATTCTCGGGACTGACACTAAGAGGCTGAGCAAAAAGGATGAGAAAACACTGCTATTTGCTGCTGACCTTTCAACCCTGCACAGAGGAGAATGATTTCTAGTCTAGACACTATCTTCATTCATAATTAGAACAGGAAACAGCCACTCACCAATACCCAGAAGACAATTTAAAAAATGTTCCATAAGCAAACTCCAACTACGTATGCTTGAGTTCTTTGCTTACCAAATAATATTTAGATCTAAGTGTTGTCTCTTGCATTAAGCCTATGGAGGCCCCACCCGAGTACTGGTGTTGACCAGGCGAATCTTCTGAGTTCAGATACCAAATTAGCATCCAAATCAGCAGTAGGTGTTTCAAACCAAATTAGCATCTTGGTTTTCCAGTCAGTCTTGTAAGGTTAGTTAGCAGAATATTGGTAAGATGAGTCCCCTATTTCCTGATTATCCTTGGGATTTGAGCTCCAGAGACTTGAACTCCAAGGACTAAATCCTGGATTTAACAATGCCCAACCTTACATGTCCAGTTCTTTATTCATCCCAACGAGAGAAATTGAACCTCTCAAATCACGTTGGCCATAGTTTCCCATTCATGTCTTCACATTAAGGATGATCAAGATGTTTAGTCACATAGAATAAATTACCTTGGTTTATTTATATGTGCAACTGCATGAGCAAAAGTAATTTATGGACATCATTTGCCATTTGCATATGAAATAGTCTTCTGTTCTTTATGGGGAAAAATGGCTCCTCTGGGTCACAATTAGCCTATCTGACAATTAGTCACAATTAGTCACAATGTTGGCAGTTAATCGTGCACACAAAGTTGTTTAGTCCAAGTAATACTGAGCTTCTTGACTTGAGCAATTCATTCAGAGTGGCTTTCTCTGCTTTCTATTCTGATATGGTTTAAAGTTTCTCACTGTTCAAGGAAATCATTGAAATACATCTGTTGACTCCAAGCTTACTGTTGGGCAGTGCATGGAATTCAACGAACATTAGAAGTGATGTAACCAAGCAGTTCAAATGCTTCGATTGGTTGATAAAACACAAGTGAGAGGCACAGTGCACTGTACGGATGTAAACAGTATTGCCCTAACGACCCAGGCTTCGGAGCAGAGGAGAGGCCCAAAGGGGGAGACTTTAGGAGGAAAACTTGAATAGTATAGGTGCACTTTTAATTTTTATTCTGTGCACATGGTGAATAATACATGCCAAGTGGAAATGTGAAGGTGAAGTTCTGGTCCTCCAGAGCAGAGTTCACTTGAAAGCCTGTTGGATGAGGGGCAGGCTTCCAGGAGGTGCAGGGTCATTTAGGGAGAGGTCTGGCCACTGGGTACGTGGAACAGATAGATAGCTGCGATGTTTCGGATCGGGAGGAGACAGCTCTGGAAGCAGAGCGTTACCCGCGTTCTGACGGTAAGGAGCTGCTCTCTGTGAACTTGCATGTGGGTCTTGGATTATCATCTTTCACACCCGTGTGGAAAAGTACCTAGAAACATTTCAAACTTATATCGTGATGAATTTGTGAGAAACGTGTTTGTTTACTAATTTGGGGGTAGCTCATAATGTTACGTGTTGATGTTTCAAATACAAAAAAAAAGGGACTGTATCTTTTGGCTGCTGCCTGCATTATAACTACCTGTAGAAATACATGCCTGCATTGGGGCGGGGGGGAAGCAATGCTTGTCTGAGGGGGAAAAACACATTCAGGGGGTTTTGGTGACTTTGAGTTCTTTCAGACCTGGATGCTGATGCTGGTGATGGGAGAGGTTAAGGCAGATTCTAGAGTGCGGGTTTTCTAGACTCTTTGGAATCAATTCCCTGTCCTGTAGGCCTGGAAATGAGGTCACACAAGGATGCGCCTTTGGAGTCATATTGAAGAATGAGCTTCCAGGGAAGAGGGCTCAGCTCAGCAGTTTTTTATTATGCAAATGCAGAGAGCGGTTTGGAACCTCTTCCTTTGCCAATTAATGTCAGGGGAAAATGGAGGTCGCTCTAGGACCCGGTTCTTCTAGCCAAGCCCTGGAACTTGTTTGCCTGCAAGCACCCTTTTTTTTTTAAAGACCAAATGCCAGCAGCGCCTCCTCTGAGAAGCCCTCCCAGCACTTTGCCTCTGCATCTGCTGAGGCACCCTGGTCACATCGCTGCAGTGAAATGACATTTGTCTACATATCCCCTTTCCTCACTAGATTGTGAGTCCCCGGAGGACAGGGATGACAGACAGCCTTCTCCTAGCACAAGCCTGGTGCTGGTACACCTTCATTTTATGCTTGGTTAACAAAGCGAATGAATTAAACTTCTCAGCAAATACCTCACTACCGAGTCTTTAATGTTAAAATCAATGATAAAAATCTTGACTATGACTAATGAGTTATATTCTTCTTTGGCATGAGCTACTGTTTGGGACTAAGCTTTTTTAGGGGGTTCATTTATATATCCCGGGGGCTGGTTCTGTTTGCCCCTCTGAAGAATGAGATGAGAAGAATTTCCTCAAGTCCTTTCCGCCGTTTTGGAACATCTTAGGAGGCCTGATGAGAGCAGCACTCCTGAAACGACAAATATGTCTGGAAGGCTGTGGTTCAAAGCCACTTTTGCTGGCTGTAAGTGGGGTCTCCCCAGAGGGAGCACACAGCTCTTCTTAAAATTGAAGGTGTTTATGCTGGAGATGAACCTGAATTCTATCCCGGCAGGAGATGTGCTGATGTGTACAGAGCTGAGAACAACACAGTGACCCCTGGTGGCAAAACGAATAAAAACCAGAGCAACCTGGGAAAAAGGAACTCAGGCTCATGGAAGCAGTGGCGTGGTTAGTGCCAAATTCCGAAGCAACCTTGCTGCTAAAGCCATTGTGATGCTGTACCCCCCCCCCACAACAAGGATTTAAACTAACTGAGAAGTAGATAAATAAAGGTGTAGATTAAAGAGAGAGAGAGAGAGAATTGCTTCAATAACTTTGCAGTGTCTTGTGTAAATAATCACACATTTTCTATATAATGCACTGATATGACAGTTTACTAAATTACAACTTTGTGACCTAAAATAGTCAATGACAAGATTCCAAAGCTACTTAACATAAAAACTATAGTTCTCGATGTCCATAACCTTGGCCTGGAACTTTCACTGCAATGATGCTGTATTTGAACTAGGTTATTGTAATATAAAAATTGACTTGATCCGGATTATACCTAGAATGAAAACCAAAAGTACCAGAAGCTTCTGGGGTTAGAAAGGTGACACCGTACATCCTTTCTGTTGTCTAATAAACACAAATGCTTTTCAATGAAAAGACATGAAATAATTCTGTGTATATTCACCCACTTACTTACAAAAATATGGCCCAAATATGTCTGCCTTCTTTCTGCTTTTCTTATGGAGGAACAATGCTTAGTGCCGACTTAGTACAACAGACATGAGTTCCAGACTTGGGGATTCTGTTTTCCTTTCCTTCCCTAAAATGAAACTGAAATAACATTTTTGCTGGTTGACTTTGTTGACTTTTAGACAAAAAAGCTTGTAAGCTTTATGACTTCAAGCTTTATGACTTGTAAGCTCTGGACTTCAATTTACCTAATTGCAAAGCTGATTTTCAAATGGAGAACAGTTCTCTCCCACGCTCCAGGGATATATGTTGTTCATGTTTTGCACTTATGTACTTGTGCTGCAGAATATCATTGCTCACTGCATTTCAGATGGCTAGGCTTCCCTACACAGTGATTCTCGAGGGCATGGAGACTGTGGGGGATGAGAGGACTCAGGTGCCTCTGGGGAGGCACAGTGCCTTCCCCTGCTGAGAAGCTCTGCTGGGAGGCTGCCATTGTTCCCTTGGGAGTGCGTGGGGAGAAACCAAGACAGAAAAGAACCTTTGCTCTCAGATATCTTTTGAAAGCTTAAAGGGTGTGGGTTTTGTTTTCCTGGGGCAGAACAGCCAATCAGGCTTCCGTGTCCTCTGTTCATCAGGCCCAGGCATGTTTGGCTGGTGAACACATTTCATATATACAATACAGTAGACAAAATGAAAACAATTCCCCTGCAGAGGGGAGGTGAGTGGCTCTAGGATTTAGCTGGGGAGGCGGGAGGGGACAGCCTCTGCTTGTTAATACACAGGTGAGTATTGCTGAGCCTGAGCAAGCTAGTGCTCCAGATGCCCACATCATAATCACGTCATAGCCAGGCCCTGGGAAAGTGTGGCCAAGTGCAAAATCCATCCAGTCAGCAAATAATCTGTTGGATGCCTACTTGTGCCGGGCATTGCTGTGGTCTGTGATCAGGAATTGCAAGAGCACTTCCAGGCCTCATGAAGATGAGAGCTGAAACTAGTTGTAACTATCAGTTTTTGTACCACACCAGTAACAAGAAGGAAAAAAAGAGGTCTAGGGTTGGAAGGATCCCACCCTTATGCCCTTGGACTTTCTCTGTTAAGTTCCTACCTCAAGTGAGAACCTGGTCATACTAACCAATCATGATCAATTCATAAAATGATTTCCTTTGGGACACTGTTCTGAGGCTGAGCTGCATGTTAGAATTGCCAGGGGAGTTCCTGAGAAGTACTAGTGTTCAGTCCTCCTTGGGAGAAGATAAGTTAGAGTGTTGGAAAAGGGGCAGGAATCAGTATTTTATAAATACCTAGGATTCTTGTTTTTAACTGTTTTTTTTTTCTAACTTTGAGAGAGAGAGAGAGAGAGACTGTGCACATGCAAGTGGGGGGTGGGGCAGGGAGAGAGGAAGAGAGAGAGAGAGTCCCAAGTAGACTCTGTGCTGTCATCGCAGAGCCCGACAACATGGGGCTCAATCTCATGAACCATGAGATCATGACCTTGACCCAAACCAAGAGTAGAACACTAACTGATTGAGTCATCTAGGCATCCCCAAAGTCCCCATGATTCTAATGAGCGGCCAGCTTTAAGTTCATTGTGATGAATAAGGGGATTTTTGAATTTCATCCCTGTGCCCTATGAAATGTGAATGGTACCATTATATATATTTTAGCTTGGGGGTGAAATTATATGGCTACTTGAATTATATGGCCCCTGCTGCCAGGGGGAACTCTTGGAATTCCACAAGAGAGGTATTCCTGATTTGGAGTAAAACCACTGTGGGTAGGAGGGAAGATAGATCATGAGGTCATGTGAAGGTCCACTAAGGACCTCTGATCAGATCCCAAAATTCGGTGTGCAGAAAACAGACTGTAAGGCTGGATGGTGGAATGTCTGGGGCAGAGAAGGCTGTGGCGATGGGGATATCCCTACAGCAGGTTTTGGATCAATTTGGGTGAAAAACCCACATGAAGTAAAATGTGAAGAGAGTATCTTTCATTGGCTTGGAAAGAATGACAAATAAGAGAGCCAGTAAATGGAGAGGGTCCTAAGAACTCTAGCGGAAAATAGACAAGATTCCAGAGCTTACTCTCAGAACAAGAAGATTGAGGGGAACGTCTCAGTTTAAGTGCTATCTCTTTGCAATGGAGGGGAGTGTAGCTCTTGTTGAATAAAGGAGGACTTCACTGTAGCACCTGCTGTGAGTGGGATTAGCCACCGTGGAGTGTCTTTCCCTTCCAGAAACCACTTTGCTGAAGTGCTTTTCAGGTAGGAAGGAGGTATAGTGTTTCCTCTGCGTCCATGACCCTTCACCGGGAGAGACGAAAGGAAAGGGGGTAAGAAAGGGCAAGATGTAGAAAGTACATTTAACAGTGGAGAGTTGCTAGGTTGTGGGTCTCCCAGCTGGTTAAAGGGCAGGTTTGGATGCTCCAGGAAGCACCACAGAGCAGCCTCTCTCAGAGGAAATGGGGTCCTATGGGGTAAATGAAAACACTGGAAGACAAAGAGGAAGGCTCTTCTTTGTTGGAAGACATGGAAAGGGAGCTGACTTTGTAGGGAGGGCTCTACATGGAAGTGAGCAGGAGAACTACTTCCCTCAGTTTTTGTAATTCAACACATTTAAGTAGGACGTAGGCTAAGTGGGCCTACATGTTTACCGAGCCTACATGTTTGCTGTAAAGTGGTATAGTATGGAGAACTATAATTCATACTAGTGGTAGAGTTTTGTGCAGTTGCTTATGCTTGAGACATAACAGGATTGAAGACCCAGGAGCTTATTGACTGAATTCTGAGCCTGTGATCATGGACTCAGACAGACTGAGCTAGAATAATTTGTTCCAGCCCTTCATTACTTGAGACTGACTTGTAAATGATTAATTTGGTTAATTTATCCACTCATTAGATAATCAATTGAGGCTCTACTATGTCCCAGGTACTGTTCTAGGCATGAGGGATATTGCAAAAATTATCATAGAAAACATCCCTCTCTGTGGAGCTGATAGTCTTGCAGGGATAAAGAGATTCAGTTGATATTTACTTTATTCTAACCTGCAAGAGATGAGAAGAATCAGGCTATATGTATGGCAGATTACCAATAACGAGGCATTGCAGAAAGCTGGGCAAACACTTTGGGTAATTTTTCCTTCTGCTCATGGATTTGCCTTCATTCATCCGTAGTTGAGGAAGCTGGTAAAAAGTGAAGCCAAATGGCCTGAGATGATCAAACCCATGTCCTTGGCCTCTTTGGTACTATGTTTCATCAGGTGGTTAATTATGTGTGGACTTGAGATTGATTTGGAGAGCCAAAGAAGAATCAGTCTTAGATGTATTTGGTGATTTAAGATAAGGAGTAAGTCACCTGTAATTCATAGACTTACATCATTTCCCATTATCTCCAGTGGAGATTGAAATCTAGATTATACTCTCCTCTAACCATGTTTGATACATTGCTGTATGCATCTGTATACATAAAAGAAGAAAACACCCAATTCAAGAAAATAGAAAAATATTCATCCAAACATATGCAACAGACCCTCATTAAAACAGACTTCCTCCTCTTTCTCACATTCAGACCTGCAACAAGGCTAATCATGTCACCTAGGAAAACTTTTTTGTTTTAAAAAGCAAAGAAATAAATTTTTTGGCTGAAGAACCCATTCCTCTCCCCATACACTTCGCCATGCAAAGGCATCATACGAAGATGTAGTGTTTACAGTATGACATAGATGAAAGTGAAGTTGTTCAGGCAGAAGCAGCAACAAGTGGGGAAAGCATGGAGCCCAGCCTGCTGGCTGCCCAGGCAGGGAGGCCACCTTCTAGCACTTGTAGGCATTGAGGGTGGGAGGTTACCATTTGCTGAGACACAGGAGTGTAATGAGAGAGCTGGACACAGGGCATGCCAGCTGGAAGCCAGCTGGGCACCAGTGCATCCTGGTAC